TTAATCTTATAAAACTACCTAAACTTTTGAGTATCTCACAATCTTGGTTATCAAGGTCTGTATAAGTTAATGCATCATGATTTATCATGCGATTCAAACCTAAGAAATTAGACAACACTTAGGTTGTGTTTGTTTCATAGAAAGGATTGGAATAAAATGAGTTGAAGTCTATAGAAAGAAATTAGACAAACTACCTAATGATATGTTTCACTGAGAAGCCGTAAAGTTGAAGTCTATAGCCTTGTTACATTATAAAATTGGATTTAGTGAAGGAATAAAGGTTTATTCATGTGTTCAAGATTTAGTGAAGGAATTCTAAAAGCTTTTGCAATGGTTCTGATGCACTCTTTTTGGAAAAGGTTAGTTATTAAAGTCAATCTAGTACCAAGAAGAGCTGGATCTGCTTTAAGTATTTCTAGTTGGGGTCAGAAGCTGGGGCAGAGCTACTAGATATCTCCCCTTGCACCCCCAGTTCCCACTCCCAGTTATAATGTTTTCCTACCCCTCTCCACTTTAGTGCTGCTTACCTTTCTCCACCGTTGTCAGAAGTAGAAGGTGAAATTGTGGTATTTGATCAATATCTTGAATGTAGGGTATTGGGAGAATACACTTTCTATTCCTAAGGGAGTTGATCATGGCCCTCCATCTGTGAACTCACCTGAACCATGTAGCAGAGAATTGGTTCGAATTCGACTTTATGACACGGTTAACACTAGCTCTGTCTTCTTTGTGGTCTTAGAGTTACAAGAGGTAAGTGCATTCCACACACTATAAGAAAATCAAGATTTAGCAGCGTTTTTTATTGTATCGGCTTGAAAAATGCTGCTATAGATGGGCTATTGTAGCGGTTATTGACTGCAACTAAAAATAAAATTTTTAGCAGCATTTTTTTCCTAAAACGCTGCCTTCTATTTTTTTATAGTGACGTTTGACCTCAAACGTTACAAAAAGCCAAGGAAAAGGCCCGCCAAATTGATTTCTGATTTCGCGCGAAATCAATTTTTTTTCTTTTAAACATATCAGAATTTCAGTCCAAAAAAAAAAAAAACAAAACCGTTCTACTCCTCCTTGATTACATGTGCCCTAGTCTATCAACACTTCTTTTGCGAAGTACCAGAGCCTTCGTTCATCCTCCACCGCGGCGTGTTGACGACGGCAAGCTACTACTGTGATTTCAAGGTTAGTCTACTCTCTATATATCTCTTTCTCTATCCCCATCTTTCTTCTGTCTCTCAATTTCTCTCTTTACCCCTCTCTCTTTTTTCTACTGTCTCTGTTTTTCTTTCTCCCTCACTGTCTTCTTCCTCCCTCATCATCTGTTTCAAATTACACCCCACTTCATGTTCTCTACTCCTTCCATACCAATTAGCAAAACCCTTTCACTTTGCTTTGTTCGATTTAGGTCAGTTATCTACTGTCATTTCCCAAACACTATAACCATGAAACAATCATGAAGATGACGAATCCCATAAAAACATAAAGCATCTTTGGACAAGTTTGGGTCCATGGAATTCATTGTTAAGATCTCCAAAACTTCTCTACTTTGAAGGATTTCATAAACATCTTGAATGATTTTGATTTGGGAAAATAATTTGTAAAATAGATATTTTAACATGTTTTGCATTCTGATTATGATATTCACACACACACACACACATATTTGATCATCTATGATATTCATATTTTAACCAATGTTGATTAGTGAAGTGAATGGATTGTTGTTGATACTACACAATAAAATCCCATGCTTGAGGAACCATTATGTATGCTAGATATTTGATAAAATGCCACAATGAAGTAATAGTCCCTACCTTTTTGTTTATTTTTGTTCTGTTTGTTCTGTTTTGTTTTTTATTTTTTTATTTTTTTTTTCTTTTGAGAAAAGTGTTGTCAATGAATTTAATGCACAGTTTATAATGTTTTCTTGGCTTAATAATGTGATTGGAAAATTGTTATTGTCATTGCTTTTATGATAATACATTGCCTCCTCAATGAGATGGGCCTATGTTATGCGGTTGTCATCAGATATAGCTTCAAGAAATTTGGGGGGTGTTTGAACTGGAATTGTGAGAAAGAGGAATTTAACTCTTATATCCTTGATTCTGATCTTGTTGACTTGTCTTATGGTGGTTGTCAGTTTGCTTGGGCTAACAAAAGGAATGGTGGTGACTACATAGCTACAAAAATTGATAGAGTCTTGGTCAATGAATCTTAGCTTAACCATTTCCCTGCCTCTACTACTATGTTTCTGCCTTCTAGTATCTCTGACCATTCCCCTGCTATTGTCATTGTTTAGGCTTTTTTCTTGGTTTGCCCAATAATCATCCACTTCATCAATCTCGTTGTACTTTCTTTTCAGTTTTCTCTTATTAGTAATAAGAAAACATTCATACTGACTTGAAATCTATTTAAAAAGCCCAAAAAAAAAAAATTAACATTTCCTTTTAAGTGTTCAGTTATTTTCCAAAGAACTATGTCTAGAAAAATCAATTCAAACATTGATTCTGCTCTTGCATGATATGAGCCACCTTTGGCTTTGTTACAATTACTGTTAGCAAAAGGAAAAGCTGTACATGAAGCTGTGTTCCTAGTGAAGTAAGGGATAACCTTAAATAATATTAACAATAGTCCATTGCTGAATAAGAGAGTGCAGAATAAAAAAGAGAGAAAATGAAGGGAAGGATTAGTATGCTTTGATCTCTTTATAATTGTTGACTTCAACACGGCAAGAATTTCATCTTTTTCTAATTGTAGTGAAAGAATTTCTTAAAAGCAACCAAATAAGCTACCTCCACATTTGTTGTTTGTTTTTATGGCTGAACTACCATATATCTTCTAGATATACCCCCTTGCACCTAATGGTGAGCTCATATACAGCAGCCTCTTTGCCATAAAAAATGGCATAATAGCAAAATTATGACATGGAGTCTTTTCTAAAGAAATCTAAAAATGTTGTCAATACCATACCAATGTTCTTATGCAATTACTGAGGGACAAGTTGCACTACTATAATTTACTTGTAACTAAACTGATGCTGAGCTTTTTGCTATACTTCTTGTTTTTAGCATGAAGGCATAAAAGAGCAAATCGAAACGAGCATTTTCTTTATGAAGAACAGCAACTATTTTCATGTGTTATTTCTTGTTCCTGCTTCTTGTTGTGGTTAGAAAATTAGTTAGTTAGATTTTTTTTTTTTTTTTTTCATTTCATATTGTACCAGGGATAACAAGTGTTTTCTTCTTTTCTTCCTATGTTTTGCAGGCTACGTTCACTGACATTCTGAAACAACTTGGTATGCCTTCTTCATTCTTATTTGCTTAAATCTTATATCAAGTCTGATGCTTCATTGAGTCGAGTCGAGTCGAGGCTATGAATCTAATTTAAAAGTGTCTGTGAAAGTTTAGATGATACTCAAATTCTATTTAGCAATATGTTGCATTTTAGTAATGAACATTGAAAAATGAGCCGAAAATGTTTCATTATTCCAGTGGCTTAAATAATCCTTATGGATGTATTGCACTTCAATGGGAAATTATGCCTGCTCTTGAATGGCCTAGGATTTATTAAAAACAGTTAATTGACTTGACTTTGCAAACATCAAGTGGAACCTTGTTGGTCTACTTTACCCAAAAATTTCCACTCTCACACAAAGATATATATATATATATAGAGAGAGAGAGAGGGGGGGGGCGTGTGTTTGATGATGCCTGTGAAATCACAATGGCCACAACTTTTCATTTATGTGATGTGCGTGTACAACTTGACTAAAGACTTCAAAAAAAAAGAGAAAACATTTGGAAGGTCATTTAGACTATTGGATTGGATGGGAAGGACGCTCAAGGCAGGCCTAATGTTGTAGGAGAAGTACTATCACTAGCTGTTATATTAAATATTGGACCCATGACTTGAGGGCATTCAAATCTGGGATGGGACTATAGGGGTGAGTTAGGGCATATGGGTTAAGAGTAGTACATGTGGGATGGTGAGGTCAACAAGAGGGCAGTTGGATAGCCAATCTGTCTTGAGTCCCACACACACTACCCCACAAGAATCATGGACTATGAGTGAGTGCATATGTATTATATAATATTATCCAGTTGGGTAAATAGATGAGAAGCAGCCAGGCAGCAGCAATCCACAACCCAGATACCTCATCCAAGATAGACTTTACTATCTTTTCTCTTATGCTTGGCTGTGAATGTGCTACCACTCACACACACACACACACACACACACACACACACACTCTCTCTCTCTCTCTCTCTCTCTCTCTCTCTCTCTCTCTCATCCACTTAAAGGAACAAGTAATGCTTGACACCCTCACTTGACATACATCACATATAGATACTCGTAACTCCTACATACTAACCATTTAAATTTGGAGTTGGTGTTTTTTAATGTTGTGTTGCGTCTCCCCTTCTCTCTCTGTGTTTGTTTTTGGCTGTTGGATCGCCGCCATTGAAGATCACCCACCCTTCGCACACGCACCCCTCCCGCTTCGCTTGGCTCCCTTCAAACCCATTGTTCTTCAATTCAACAGAGGTAAGTTCTTCAGTTCTCATAATTTTGAGTGTCATTCTCATAATTTTGGATACAATTTTGTATTTACACACACATATATGTATTTACTTCATTGTTCAAAGGAGGATAGGATGAGAAGGATGCTCAATACAGGCCTGATATTGTAGAAGGAGTACTATCACTAGCTATTATATTAAATATTGGACCCATTACCTGAGGGCATTCAAATCTGGGATCCAAGGTTAATTACACTGCACATTGTCTTCTTTGAATTTTATTTTTTTTTTCCTATTTTTTTTTTCTTTCTGTTTTTGTTGAGAGAGAGCACCTTTTAAATGAATCACATATGCTTCAAGCAGTTTTTGGGGTTTAATTAGACTGCACGTTTCATTTATTTATATTTATTTGAAAGCTTTTATTACTTAAAAAACAAAATGTACACTAGATAACACATCTCTCCTACATTGTTACCACACATATTTTGCATGTATGCCATTGAGAATCAAAGGTATTAGATAGTGTGCATGTTGTCATCCTGTCACACATTTTACATGCTATTCAAAGTTGGCTCAATATCTATGGCATCTCATAAAAGAAATGGAACTTCTTTACACTATCAAATTGGTATATATAGATGTATGGCCCATTTGAATACTTTTCCACTATCCATTGTGAATGTATATTAAAACGAAGATTCTCCTAGGAAGTCTTTTCTTTTCCATTCAACATGTGTTGTGCTAGCTTTTTTTTTGCCCTTCACCAGTCAACAAGCTTTTGTTTCAATTGCAATGTATTCATGTAGTTATTGTTTTCAATTCGAGTACTATGCTTTACTTTCTTTTTTTATATGATTTCCATGGACTATCTTATGTCCTCAAAACATCCATTTCTCAACCTTATCCAATATTTTTTTCCTACTGAGAGCCTCTTCCTTTGCTTTTATTATCTGGTTATCCATGTCAGCAAGTAACTCAGAAGGATCGACATTCCTAGAATCAATTAGAGCCATAATTTTTTCTTGAGCAGCCTCTGAATCAATCTCACTATGAGCATGAGCAAAAATCTCCTCAAGCTCAGTTTGCCTTTTTAAAGCTATTTCCTTCATCCTGCTAGCTTTTAGTTGATCAAGCCTTTCAACTGCCACCTCAGCCTTGACAACAAAAAACAAGTCAATATTTAAACAGCAGGTATTTGATACAAATTCAAGGACCTTGTGCAACCTCTTACTCTGCCACCAGATCAAATAATCAACCAAAATTCATTGACTCAGTGGGTATGAAAGTTAGTCAAATTGATGTTAATCGAACAATATGAAATAAATTATCTTTTCCTTTTGCAGTTCTTGGAGCCGAGACTGAAACTCATCCAATGCATATAGTAAGGAATACGTTCATAGTATGTTACATGATCTTGTGCCAGCACATTTGCATAATGTAGTGCCAACCATGTTTCATAATGTGGCATCAACACAGTTTCATAATGTAGCTTCTACACATGTCCATGACTCTAGGCTTCCGCATTAGCTTGAACTTTATTTTGTGGACGCTGGTTATAGCAGCATGGATTAGTTCTTTTCTTTTTGTTATTATTTTTTTTCTTTTGCCTTTGTAAATTAGAAGCAATAGTTAACAAAGGAACTATTCTTATCCAATTTATTTTTGCTTTCTTATGTTTCTCATATTTTTGGCCTTGAATTTCCATTGATTTGAGTAGGGTTGATCTGGGAAATGGTGGGGCTAGATGAAATATCATACCAAGTCATACTCGAGAGCTTTTATGATTTTGTTGAGGGGTGTGAATATTCCCAAATGACATGTTGAAAAATAGATTTTACACAATTGTATGTTTCTGTCCCAACTTGCTAACCCACATGCAGAGACAGTTGGCACAAGGATGATCATCACTGATTTACCATTTTCTTAGTGCATGCAATTGGGTGACTTGTTTGTACTCAAATGGCAGTGATCCTTCTAACCAGCTTTTCCCTATAGGTCTTTAGCGCTTGGAATTTAATTGAAGTTGCCAATGAAGTCTGATTCGTGTTGTCTGGAAATCCCAAAAATAACTCAATGAAGATGGTCAACATAAAGACTTCACCATGTTCCTTGGGTTTGTTGTTTATATATGTATGTATATATGTTAAAATGTTACTGGTAGTGCTTATAAAAAAAATATTGATTCTCCAGATTTTCTAATTTTTTATTGAGAGTTAACCACGGCTTGGGTTTTCAGCTCTTTATTTATGGTTTTCTATATTGTAAAAATTGACTTGGAGAATGCATTATACTGAAAGTGGCACAACTTTTGTGCTCTTGCCATTTTCTTATTAATTTCAAGTGGGATAGCTTGAATTGACGTGTGATACCTGAGATCATTTAATAGTGTTCATGAGTCAATCATAATATTTTTGAGTTTAAGCTTGGTTATCTGCTTTGGTTTATGTAATTTGATTGGAGTTTCCTCACATTCATTTTAAACAGGTTCTTGGTCAGCGGTATTGTCCACCCGTGGAAGTCTTTAAAAGTTGCTGCAGAGACGTTAAAAAAGGTTGTGTGAGACCAAACAGCGCCCGGTATTATCTCTCTTTTGTTGATCAAGGTGGAGAGGGGAATCGATCAGAACCAGTAGAACCTCATCTGGTAGTCCAAATGGACACAGAGAGTTCTGTACTATACCAGAAAACCTGCCTCGACTATTGTTTTGAAAAACCAATAAAGGTGAGAAATTTATAAAGCATTCACATACGTAAAGAGCATTGTCCACCGACTATTGTTGTTGCAGCCATTGTCTCACTTAAAGAGCAGGTGGAGGGGATACAAGAAATCAACCTGTCAGGTGGAGGGGATACAGGAAAAACCAATAAGTGTATACTGTCAAATGTTTTGAAATGCCTTGGTGACAATAAAAAACATATGAGAGAAAGCACTCTGACTACTTTAGATGCTTGGCTTGTTGCTATTCATCTCGACAAAATGGTTGGGTTCCAATTTCTCTATTTCGTTTATGCATTAATTAATTTATATATTTATCATGCTTCTCTGATAAATTTTCCAATTCTGAAAGTGTTATTAGGTGCCTTACATCACTACTGCTTTGATGGATGCGAAGCTTGGCACGGAAGGGCGCAAGGATCTTTTTGATTGGCTATCAAGGCAACTTAGTGGATTAAGCAATTTTCCTGATGCTGTAAATCTGAATTATGTATTGTTTCAATTTGTTATGCTAGATGGATGTGACTTGTGAATGAAAACTTAGAATAGTTGTATTGTATCGAATGTTAATGAATTATGTATTGTGTCGAATGTTAATGATTCAGTTAATTTGAATGATGCTCTAAAATTATAGGTTTATTATGGATTGAATGAATTATTAGGAATTACAGGTGTATTGTTTTCCTGCTCTGGCGACCAATTTATTAGTTGCGACAAATAAATAATTTTTTTTTGCAAAAAATGACAATTGCCGACCAAGAGTTTTGGTCGCAAAAAATACATCTATTGCCGACCAAAACAGCTCTTGGTCGTGGAAACTCACTTTTGCCAACCAAAAGTTGTGGTCGCGAAAAGTAACAAATGGCGACCTAATTTTTTGGTCGTGGAATGTCACAATTAGCGACCAAACTTTTTGGTCGTTGAATGTGATAATTGGCGACCAAATTTTTTGGTCGCGAAATGTGTCAATTGGCAACTAAGATATTTGGTCGAAAAAATAACACTTTTCGTGACCAAAGTGTTTAGCGACAAAATGAATTAGTCGCGGTAATTAAATATTTAGCAACCAAAAATTTAGTCGGTAAATCCAACTTTTGCCGACCAACCAAAATTTCGGTCGCGAATTACTTTTGCCGACCCTCAATTGGCGACCAAAGTAGCGACAAAAAAAAATTGGTCGCGGATAACTTTTGCTGACCAAAAATTGACTTTTAGCAACCAATTTTTTTGTTGTCAAAAGTGTTAATTCTTATAGTGAGACTCGGCAATATTTAGCGACGAGGGGTCCTTTAGGACTATCTCGGCCCTTTGGAAAGATTGTGGATCATTCGTTAGGTGTGGCTAAGAAGAAAGGTTCACCGAGAGGTTGATCTCCTCTTCGAGATTTTCCTCATCATTGGAGAGGTCACCTCCTCAGACAAGGTGGTTAGAGAGAATATTTCTCATGTGCCTTACACATGGGCTCCATCCTACATCATGAGGTGCTTATAAATAGCACCACTACAACAAAATGCACATTGGGCGACTAAATTTTTAGTCACCAAAAGTACAATTTTTAGTCGCCAAATGCTTTGCTCGACTAAATATTTTGGTCGCTAGACTGGTCGCAGAAAACTTGTCGGGGAAGGTATTGGCGACTAAATTTAGTTGCCAAAAGTCCTATAAATGGCGACTAATATTTTTAGTCGTCTAAAATAATATTTTAGTCACCAAAAATCTTATTTTCCGCTACCAAAACTTTGGTCGCCAAAACCTGAAGTATCTATGGTGACCAAAGTTTTAGTCACCAAAGGGTTTTTTCATCTTTTTATTTTCTTATTTTTTTCATTTTATTTTTTTTAGCTACTAAATTCTTAGTCGCCTAAAGTCTGCTTTTATTTTAGCTACTAAATATTTAGTAGCCAAAAGTTTTTCTCCATTTTATTTTTATTTTTAGCTACAAAATATTTAGTAGTCAAAAGTTTTTTTCCATTTTATAAATAAAATTATCTACATACTGATAAAATTAGCAACCATTCCACAACACACACACATTTCACTTTCAACCATAAAAAATAAAAAATAAAAAATCATATTTAACATCAAATCAATATTTCCAAAAAAAATTCTATACAAGTCAAGTATAATCCAATCTCAAAAATATAATTCCATACATAACAGAGGATTAAACAAAATTAATATCTAATTGTTTATTTGGCAAGAAACCAACTAACAAAAACACCAAAAACATAAAAAGTAAAATAAAATAAAATAAAAACTAGTGATGAAGCCAGCTGCAGTCCAACCCTCAAAGCAATTACTGAAGCAAAGCCGAAAGCTGCATACATAAATTAATATAGATCAGTAACATAGATCACAAACAGTTGCTAACAAAAGATAGCACAAACAGATACATAATTTTTATCCATCATCAATTTACTAATCAACTTTTCTCATTTTATTCTCAAACCGAGTACAAAATAATTATATAGAGCAAAAATGAGAAGGCATACCAAAGTAATGACCATTCAAAAAATATATTGCATAATCAATAAGTTTCACCATTTACATTCTCTTGCATAAATCCATATGTATATTGTGCATAATGAGTTAATCTTCTGGGAAACTATTGGCAGTTTCGAACATGCTTGAAGAATTAAAACATAGGTATAAAAATTTTACCCATATGTATATTTAATTTAGGTGATTAAGACAGACACTAGAGCCAAGTAGGTGATTAATCCAACACATATCATCATATTTGACCTTGCTGGTAAAATAACTAGAGCAAGGAGCCATGCCTGCATAATCAAGACAGTTAACTATGTCAAAATTAAAAGATAGTGAAACAAAAATTAAATAAGAAAAAAGAAAATAGCATTTAAAGAATAAAAAAACCAACTCAATTGCGGTAAAAACCACACTGCAAATGTTGGTAACACAGTAGTTCAAGACTGAAGGTTAGCTAATGTAGTGCTGATACCAGGACCCATATATATTTACAAATTCAGACTTATCATGTATTTAATTAACAAAAAAGGATTATCATCCATTAAATGCCCTATGCTTGGATCATCCGATAACAGATCCCCATAAACTACCCAATGATTTTGAGCATTTCCTGCATAATATTTTTAGAGCATTTCCTGCATAATATAGGAGTTTTATGTATAGTTTTATGGTGAACTCAAATTACTAAATATGCTTGATGGGTGAATGTCCAATTACATACGTTGGATACATATTCGATACCCTTCTTCAAGTTTTGAGACATTTAGACACAAACTCGCACTTAACACCCATAATCAAGTCCATGTAACATAGACAAAAGCAAACCTTAAATGATTCTTTTACATTTACAATAAGTCCCTTTGTTTGAAGGATAACCATTGGGCCATTTTGATCATTTTTAGTGGAGACCGAGTGGACACCAAAAGTTGTCCATGTTTTTTTTTTTTTTTTTTTTTTGACAAGTTAAAGTTGTCTAGGTTTAATATGTAGTAATAATGGATAGATAAAAAAGTTTCAATGAAGCAAGGGTTACTAGATTCTAGAAAAAGTTTCAACCATTGTGCACCCAGAAACATAGTGACTCATGTGCTTTCCATTAAGGGTTATAGTTCCTTAAGGCATCTACAAAACAACTATCCTCCAACAAACAATGGCAACCCCCAGAACATAACATATTCTTAAACAAGTTGGGTAACTAATTTCTCAAGCGTATTATTCACATTTTTTATTAGCAGTACCTACATAGTGTCTCTTCTTTTAAGCAAATATTCCCAGATTTGATCACAATGGCCAAGTGCATATGAAAACATGAAAATATATCTAATGCATGTGAATAGCAACTCCAAGGTTCAGATAAGTCAGGATCTGCTAATGCTTAAGAAAATATTAATAACCCAACACCAGAGTCATATGCATATGAAATGCATCCACTTGCCCACCCATCAAGCATCCAATGTACTAACATACATGAATTTCAACCCATTTTCATCCACTTAAATTGATTATTACAAATTGCAATTAATTATTAAAACCCAATACAAAGAACTTAGGACATAATGCACAATAATTATTTTGGGACAAACAATGATATATTTACAGTAACGATCTGGCAACAGATAAGATAACACAGATAGTCAAAACTAATAAGTTGGCATACCCAAATCCCAAACTTAAAACTTTATGTTGTTATATTGAACTGTTTCCACATTAAACCCAATTGCTACATCAAATATATACACACAGAAATTAATCCACAAGTTCCAAAATAAGAAAATATGACACTTTAGAGTGAAGTATCAAACTTTCCACTTCTGAAAAAAAAATTGCAGTAAATTAGCACCATAATTTCAAATTAAAAATTTTATCAATTTGTAAATCATGAATCCGATGGTCTCCAATCCCCTGATCTTTTTGGCAAACAAAGAAAGATTATGCAAACAAAAAAGAAACCAAGAAAGAGTACCAACTTGGAATTGTGGAGACAACTTCACCCATCTCAAGCCGATGACGAGGAGGCGGTGGATTTGTGAAGATCGGCGGAGGAGGCGGCGACGTGAAAAGATCGACGGTACTCACGATGACGATGGCGATGGCAATGGCGGAGGAGGAGGAGGAGGTGCTCCGGTTTCCATCGAAGGCGAAGAAGGGCGGCAGTGACAGAGGGAGGTGAGAAGAGTAGCGAAGACAGGGAGGGAGAGGAAGAAGAAGAGGGACCCCGAAAATAGAGAGAGAGAGAGGCGCAGATTATTTTAGGGTTTGGTTTGGTAGAATATATATATATATATATCATTTTATACAATTGACGACTAAAATACCTAATGGGCGCCAATTAATTTTTTTAATCCTTTCAAAATTTGAAAGGTTTATAAAATATATCATCTTTGGCGACAAAAGTATGTTTTGGTCGCCAAAGATAAAAGTAATTTTTTTTTTTCAATTCGGCGACGAAATCATTTTAGTAGCCAAAACAAACTTTATAGCGACTAAAAAAAAAATTATCACTGAAAATAAATTTTTGGCGACCAAAAATTTGGTCGGCAAAGATAAAAATAAATTTTTTTTTTCAATTCGGCGACGAAATCATTTTAGTAGCCAAAACAAACTCTACAGCGACTAAAAAAAATTTTTGTCACTGAAAATATATTTTTGGCGACCAAACCAAAGATAAAAAAAAAAAAATTTTTACTTTCAATTCAGCGACTAAATGCTTTTAGTAGCCAAAACTCAATATACGGCGACTAAATTTTTTTTTAGTCGCCAATAATCAGTATACACCGACTAAAAAAAATTAGTAGCTAAATATTTTACTTTTGCCGACTAAAAAAATTATTAGTCGCCAATTCCCCAACTTTTGGCGACTAAATTTTTAATTTTAGTCGCCAAATGTGTATTTTGTTGTAGTGCACCCACCTATAACTTTACAAGGGACGGATTTTGGAGAGACAATTCTTGGAAAATAACTAATTTCCCTTCTCCATTATCAACCTTGAGAGTGAAAGTGGGAGATCCATGGGAGAGCCTTGCCATTATTCTCTCTCTAACTACTTCG